TAAACCTTTGAGTTTCATTCGTGTTTCAATGTGAACCCTCCGTCCATCTCCATCCATCTCCGTCTCACTTAATCTTTCCTTCTTTCAGATTCAAACCCGCATGTTCAAACCCTTGTATCTCCCTCGTCGTAACTCTATATCGCCTCATTTTCGCGTCATTGAATTCACCTCATGGATTAGTTTTCATTCCACCCCTCATATGCCTTTTTCCACCTCTTTTTGCATGCCGTCGAAGCTCCGAAAGTGGGCCAAATTTTTTTTTTCTTTTTGGACAAAATTTTCATATTCAAACCCACATGTTCAAGCCATTGTATCTCCCTCGTCGTAACTCCGTTTCACCTCATTTTTGCATTGTTGGATTCACCTCATGGCTTAGTTTTTATTCCATCCTTCATACACCTTATTTCATCTCTTTTTGCATGTCGTCGAAGCTTTGAAAATTGGCCAAAAATAAGATTATTCTCCCTTTTTTCTTTTCTTTTCTTTTTTTTGTTTTGTTGTTATGACGACAATATTCTTGGTAGCGGAGATGCAATGGATGATGCTTGACATGCTCATCGACCCAGTAGTTTTTGATTCTTGTGGGTAGTTGTATATCTATCACCACTCGACGGCACCGCCACCATTACCACCACCACCTCATCTTGCAAATAATGATGATGAAGCAATAGCAGCAAGCTAGGAGGAGGAAGAAAAAAAATCTTATTTTTGGCCAAATATTGGAGCTCCGACGGCATGCAAAAAGAGGTGAAGCAAGGCATATGAGGGATGGAGTGAAAGTTAGGTCATGAGGTGCATCCAATTACACAAAAATGAGGTGAAACGAAGTTACGATGTAAGAGATACAATAGTTTGAACATGTGGGTTTGAATATGAAAATTTTGCTCAGAGAGAAGGAAAAAAAAAAAAAAAGTCAAAAGAGGTGGAACAAGGAGCACGAGAAATGGAATGAAAACTTGGCCATGAGATTAATCCAACGATGCAAGAATGAGCGAAACGGAGTTACGACGAGGGATATACAAGAACCTGAGCATGTGGGTTTGAATATGGAAATTTTGCCCAAAAAGAGAAAAAAAAATGGCCAACTTTCGGAGCTTCGATGGCATGCAAAAAGAGATGAAACAAGGTGTATGAGCGGTGAAATGAAAAGTAGGCCATAAGATGAATCCAACGACGCAAAAATGAGGCGAAACGGAGTTACAACAAGGGAGATACAAGGGTTTGAACATGTGAGTTTGAATCAGAAGATTTTGCCCAAAGAAAGGAAGAAAAAAAAAATTTGGCCAACTTTTGGAGCTCCGACGGCATGCAAAAAGAGGTGGAAAAAGGCATATGAGGGTAGAATGAAAACTAAGCCATAAGGTGAATTCAACAACGTGAGAATGAGGCAAAACAAAGTTACAACGAGGAAGATACAAGGGTGTCAGGTTTTTATTATTGGCAATCCTGTTTGACAAAATTCCTTTCAGTTGTACTTTTATTCGCTCATTTATTTCAGTGAGGCTATGAGTTTTTAGATGCGAATCCAACCTGAATTGCGCCTTGCAGAGAAGTTTCAAAAATGCATTCAAAGTTGCTTGTCTGCTCGAGCGGCGGTTTAGGCGCTTGAGCGGAGAATGTTTGGTTCCAGAAGTTTGATCGCCTGCAAAAGTACTGGGACTTGCATTTTTCCGCTCGAGCGAAATTTCCCACGCTCGAGCGTCGGTCCACTTGAGCGCATCGAGCGGCCATTCCTGCGCTCGAGCGGAAATCGCGGAACATATTGTTATAAATATGTGGCTCAGTCAGATTTTAGGGTTACGCTTTCAAATCTTCTTTTTGGATATTAGGGTTTATATCTGGGGCTATTTTGCTAGTTTCTTTGATGTTTGTTTGAGTTCAACTCATGGTTTAAAAAGTATACATTAAAGGATTGCTTGTTTCGTTCAATACAAAAGAGAGAGTTGTTCTTCGGTGTGTTCTGGGGAATTTGAGCCTGAAGCTTTGGTGGATTCTAGAGTGACTCATCGTCGTGGATTCGACATTGGCATTGTGGATTCAACGTTGGACAAGACAGTTCTGAGGTGAAGACGAGGTTGGAAGAGGCACATAGGGGTCTGTTCAATTCAGGCGTGGATTCGCTAGATAATTGAGAGTACACTTGTGTAATTCCTTTATATCTTCTTAGTGGATTGTTTTGTGGCTGTTGCCCGTGGTTTTTTTTTATCACAACTGGAGGCGCTCCAATTGTGGTTTTTTCACGTTAAAATTGTTGTGTGGATTTGTCTTGATTGTTTGGTTGTGATTGTTTTACTGCTTAAAATTGATACATAATTACAAATCAATATCTATGGGATTTCTAGATTTTTCAAAGGATTTGAACATGTGGGTTTGAATCTGAAAAAAGGAAAAAGATGAAGTGAGACGGAGATGGACGGAAGGTTCACACTAAAACATGGATGAAACTCCAGTGTTTAATTTGTCAAAATTGAAACTCTGGAGTTTAAATTGAAAAACACACGAAACCCTTGGATTTTTTTTTTGTAATTAACCCTTTTTTCTTTTGAAACAATTGCAATGAAATTTTTTAATCTCCATCCATTAATATAGAAGTTTAAAAACTCTCTTGTTGCATGTGACTTCATTCTATTTATTCATTTGAAAATATAATAGCTGCCTTAATTGTTGGTATAACACGAAGAAAACAAAGACATGTCCTGAAAGCTAGAGATCATTTAAATACCCAGATGAGTTTATGCTACAACATGGTAGTAAAGTAGGAGATTATTTACAGATCAGTGGAATCTTTTATAGCCTACATTCGGAGTATTGCTCAGGACTAATTAATTTGAACAATTGATAAAGTTGAAGTTCCTCATTCTGCAGTGTAGGAAGATTCAATCATTAATATATGATTTGATTTCTTGCACATTGCCCTTCTAATAAAGTTGAAGTTGGCATATCAGATAGATTAACCATTTCGGATTTGAATTTTTATTTTTTGTTTCCTTGAGTAAGTCAAGATTTGAAATTGTTATGCAAGGATGTATGGTTCCAAAGTTCCAATCTACAAAACAACAAACAAAAATAAGACAAACACAGATGTGTCTATGTACATGAATGAGAGAGACTTAAAAAAAAAATTAAAAAAAAAAAAATCAACTATGCACAATAAAAAATAAATGTTCGGAAATTTTTAACTCAACCTGTTCAACAATATTGTAACACACTCTGTTAAAAAAACACCTTACTATAAATATGTACGTAGAATAGACAAACAAAAATATTGTTGAAACTCTTTTCTCTCCTCAAAATAGAAATTTATAATAAAAATAAAACAAAATTAAGATTATATTTAGATATTGGATTTATTTAGAAATATAAATTACTTCAACATATTCAAATTTTTTATAAAAAAGTAAACCCCCCCAAAAAAAAGTTTTTAAATCAATATTTGTTCATTTTTCTTCTCATTTTCCTAATCCAACCAAAATTTCAACTGAGTTTGGTTTGAATTTTCTGGATTAAATTTTTTGAAAACTGAGTTTTTTGTTTTTCGTATTTTTTTATTTTTAGTGAATATTTTTAAAATTTTAAGCATTTTTTTACTTTTTTAAATACACCTTACTTAGATGTATCTAAAAAATTCAAAAAAAAATGTGAAAAAATATTTTTAAAAATTAACAAATACATAAAAATATGAAAAATATACTAAATTTTCGTATTTTTTTTTTACATTTTTGGTATTTTTTGAATTTTTAAAAGATTCTTTTTACAAAAATTATACTTTTTATGTGTATTTATGTTAAGTATGTCTAAAAATTTTTAAAAAAAAATTACTTAAAATATTAAAAAATTTCAATAAAAACAAACAAATACGGAAAATAAGAAAGTAGAATTTTTTGAAAACTGTTTTCAGAAAAACGAAACCAAACAAGCTGAAACTTCATTTTCTTTTAGCTATATATTAATTTCATTGGCAAAAATTCAAAATCTAAAATCCAAACATATTAGAAAGTTAGCCAAACAAAATGACTCACATTGTTGAGTTATACATCATGTGAGATGGGGAAAAGCATAATAAAACCTCAAAACTGAACTAATTTTTGTCAAAATACAATGTGATCGATTAAATTACATGGTACTCTTGCATATGATTAGAAACAACTAAGTATAGAAACCTTTAAAATAAGAGGAGGTTAAGTATTACACATGTTTCACTTAGATGACGAAAACTTTTCCACTTTAATAAGGCATGGTGACACATAGTCCCATTATTTTTCAAATATGATAAGCCCTACCCCACACACAACATTTATTGGGTGACTACCCGTGCGATATAAAATAAAATGGTGAAATGTACCAAATACAGGTAAGATACGAAATAAAGAGATAGTGATGGTGCAAATCATCACAAATGTAAACCTTACAAATGCTCAAAATAATCAAAAGTATTAAACTTTATAACCAAACCAAATTAAGCTTTGCGAAAGACCTAAAATTCAAATATATATATATATATATTAACATCTAGCTGGTGCAACTAGTCCCTGTCATGTTTCATACACAGAGCAAGCTAGAAGAAATTCAAACATTATGGTAGAAAAATTACCAACTTATCTAAAAAATGGCCACTACTAAAATAATATAATATGAATCATGTGAACAATAGTAATTCTAAAAGAATAGTTTCATCTAGATGTAATCTTATTAAGACGAAAAATATAAAGAACTAAGAAAATATATATATATATATAAAATAAATATAAAATAATGGTACCTTAATTGCACTTGATTTGCACAATAATGTTGCACCATGTTTGTTGTAATTAAATTGAATGAAATATCAGAACTTTCAGCTGAATTATGCATTCACCAAATGAGATTTTCAAATCATAATGTGTAATACTCAGTCAACCAAATGATAAATTCCTGGAACTGATCCCCAACATCCCCTCCCCTTTCCCCTTGGGCTAAAACTAACTTCCAGGGTTTTTTTCATTGTCAAGGACAACAACAACAAAAAATCATGGTATGATATAATTATGGAGAGAGAGCAACAGTATTATGAACTTTTAAATGTCTCAAACAAACACAAAAAAGTGATTCAAATCATAAATAATAATATGACACAACAAGTTTAAGCCTTCATCATCATATTTAAGTTTTTAATTTCTTATATATGTCTTGCCAAACAGAATGAGAGAACAACCAGAACAAAAGCAAGAAGCAAACCAAACCAAGCAGGAGAACTCCACAACCACTGGAATGTATCAACAAACAGAGGGAGGATGCATAGAAACCCAAACTTCTGAACATGATCTCTCGGAAAGCTCGTTGGACCAACTCACGAACACCATGTTTGTATAATCTAGGATCTTCATGTTAAGCTTAGAATTAGGTAGGAAACTCTGCAAATTATTTTGACAAAAACACTATAAAGATGAAAACATTACCTGAAGGTGCAAAATTGCTGAAGTTGCTCTTTCACTTCTTGATTCTGCAAATTCTCCCACCACTGCTTTTCTACTTGGATAAGTTTCAGATTCTCTGCGTTATCTTTGCCGAATGGTAGTTTGATCAAGGCTGGGCAGTTATGAATGTTAAGCTTCTCCAAGGCTGGCCACTTCAATGAATTATCTGCGCAAATACTTCCCAACTTTGGCAGGCCACAAAGTACTACTTTCCTCAGTTTTGGCAGAAGTTCCTGATTTCCAGCGGTTGCAGATTGCTCAACCACTTCCACAATTTCTGGGCAGTCTTCAATCTTTAAACATTCAATTTCACGAAGATGTTGAATCACAACTAGAGGAAAAATAATTCTCAACATTTGACAGCTACTCAAAACCAGAGTCTTCAGTTTGGTTAGAGTAGCTGGATCCACTCGGTCATTCCAAATGCTTTGCAACTTTGGTAAATTCTTCATGTATAAATGCTTTACATTGGGCAATATTTCGCTATCCACGACTGTTTCAAGTGCAGTACAATTTTCAATTTGACAACCTTTTACCTCTTTCATGCTTGGAATTCCCAAGTCTGATAGATGCTTGATGTCCTTCTTGTTCACCAAATCGAATGCATCAACATTTGCGAGGACCTCAAAAATTGGATGATTGATGCCTTCACCATTGCAATATCTAACATACCTTTCATATTCATAAAATTTAGGAATACAAGGGTATTTTGAGTTAGGGCAATCAATGAAAAATTGAAATGACCGGATGTCTTGGATGCTTCTCCATGAGCGGGTTTCCTCAATAAAAGTGTAAAGAATGTTTGCTTCAGGAAAATTGATTCGGAGATAAGTAGTAGGAGTACCCACCTCAATGACATCTACAACCTCCTCATTTAAAAAGCAAAACTGAAGTTTTGTCAAATTTTTCAAAGTAACCACATTTTTTATGATAGTCACTACCACCTTATTGGATTGGTGTCTCAGTGATTTCACATCAATGATCAATTCTTCCAATTTAGAAAGGTTGGAAATCATATTGCAATTAAACTCCACCTCTTTAGTATCATTTTCACTTTCACATTTGGCGAAGGATACTCGAAAATGCCTTAGACTCTTCAAATTTCCAATAAAAGATGGTATATTACTGAACCCACTGCCCCGGATATCAAGCACTTCAAGATGTTCAAGTTTTTCTAAACTAGAAGGGAGTTCCATCAAATATTCACAATAGTTTAGATAGAGCACTTTGAGACCGATCACTTTTGATAGAGATGATGGTAATAACTCAATTCCGGTATGAAGCAAGTCCAAAACTTTGAGACTTGTCATGTGCTCAAAGAATGATGCAGGAATACTCTTCAAAGCCCAATTTTTCTGTAGGAAGAGTGTGGAGAGCGAGCCACAATTTGGGCAATCTGGCAACTTGTCAAACTTACCAATCAAAGAGATCCATATCTTTTCACTCCAACATTTTGCATCTGGGGGCATTTGTTGCACCAAAAGTTTATAGTTAGGATCATCTGACAAGATATATAAGAGTACCTGTCTGATACATTTGTGCATCGTAACATATTTTGGATTCTTATGTTCCTCGAGTAATGACTTGTCCTTAAGGCTATTCAATATATGAATTCCGTCGATATATGCCTTTCTTGAATCACCACCATTACCAAGGAAATCTTCAGCTTCCCAACACTCCAACAAACAATCTATATAAATGTCCTTTTCTTCAGGATATAACACACCATATAGTAAGCATTTCCTTTGAGTATCTTCCAGATCATCGTGACAGAATTTTATCACATTCCTCAATTCTTTCAATTCATGTTGACCTTTTTCTGAAAATCTTTTCAAGCTTTTAAATCCTTCACTCCATAATTTCAAGTCTTTCTTTTGGAACACACTTGCTATTATATTTATTAAAAGTGGATGACCACCGCACTCTCTGATTATTTTCCATGCACATGCCTCTGCTTCACGATCATCTTTAAGTTTTGGGCAATTTGCTACATCTTGAAACATTCTGAATGATTCCTTAGGAGACAAATATGTCACCTTGACCACCCTATCCACTCTTGGGAAACGAATATGGCTCTCTCTAGTTGTCAATACTATCTTGCTCCCATTCTCACAAGGAGGGATTCCCATTTGATGTATATCAAGGTCTGCTTTAACGTCATCCAGAAGTAGCAAATACCTTTTTCCATTCAACTCATTTGATATTCTCTTGGCAATGTCGTCAGAATCACTGGTGCCTTCCATATCCACTTTCAACCTTTTAGCAATAGCATTTTGCAACTGGCTCATGTCCAAATTCTCATTGCCCTCCCCTGCTGAAACCTTTATCCACATGACCATATCAAATCTTTTGGCTACTTCTTCATGATTGTTCAAGTTCTTCATAATGGCTGTTTTCCCAGTCCCCATCATTCCAGAGATTGCAATTCCTTTAACTTTGTCTTTTTTCAGCAAATCCAATGTATCTTCTAGTGGCATTTGAAGTGTTGAAAACTTTTTTATATTTGGTGCTATCAGCTTGATAACAGGTTCCAGTGGTTGATCAACCAAAATACTCCCAAGTTGATTGCTATCCTCCAAAAGTTTGATTACTTTCTCACCCTTTTTTTTCATCTCATTGCTGAAATTTGAACGTGGAAGAAAACAAATTATTTGTGAGCTTTCACTTTGTTTGTCATATCTGGCTAGTAGTTTCTTCACTTCTTCTTCAGTCTTAATAACTCTGTGAATCCATTGATCATAAGTTTTAGAAGGCATCTTTATCTTTCGTCTTTGGATTTCATTTTGATGATCATCCCTTTTAGCACCTAACATTGCAATTGCCTCCTTTAATGCTGTGTAAATCTCCTCCATGTTATTTGAAGAGGCAATTGTGTCCACAATTGGAGCCCAGAATGCTGTCTTGGCTTGGGTCAGTGCCCCCATTGCAGCTGCTGCTGCTGCTACTTCAGCCGTCATTGAGAAACACTGAACTTGTACCAGAGAAGTTCAAATAAGAAAAAGAAACAGTATCAGCAAGGATGGATTAAAACAGTCAGCCATGTACAGGAAATATATCATTTCCATTTTTTTTTATTTTTTTAACAAAATCACCATATAATGGTGGCATTTTTTGAGACTATATGAATGGTTAATGGATCTTTCATTTGAAAAGGATAAACCTAAGTCAGCCAGATTGTTGGGCGACCATATTTGATTTTTCAATGTGTATACCATTGTTCCCCGTTTGTGCACCTTATTTTCACATTCATTCGCCAAAGTTTGTTGTCACCAATTACAAAATACAAGTTAAATGTATTTATAGGAAATGCGTTCTATATTGGAAAATATATAGTATCTCTTCTATAATGACATGGAAGTGGCATTGTTTTTAATGTTTAAGCCAACTTATAGGGTTTTTCTTTGTTGTTGTTGTTGAAATGATAAAACCACAAAGTGTCACACCATTTTATATTATGTTTTTATGTTGCATATTATTTACTAATAACAATAATCTCTACACATCTCTTGCTTGGTTCCCACGTTGGAATCTTAAAGCATCTCTACACTTTTCACTTTTGGAGGGAATCCAATTTTTCACTTTTCCAAAAAGAAATTAGGTTCAAATTATTTGTTTGTTTCCCACATTGAAATCTTGAGTATTTATTAAGCTCTCACCTTCTACAAATAGAAGAGAGCTTTCTTCATTTCTTCAAGCTTCTATCTATGGGAAGTCCTCCTTTGAGAATATCCATGAGATGGAACTTCTAGTTCTTTATAATGGGTTCTTGAAAACAGCCTAGATGTATGCTCTCTTCTTTTCTGTCTGTTTTCTTTTGGATTTCTGGGTTAAGGTTCTTGTTGGAAAAACACCTAAGGAATCAGCCTTTGTATTGTTTTCTTTCATATTGTTGGGAAAACATCTTTCATATTTTATGGGTTAAGGTTTTTGTTGGAAAAACATCTAAGGAACACAACCTTAGTATTGTTTTCTTGATTAGGCATATTATATTGGAGATAAAATTTCCAATAATCTTTTCTGCATAACAGAGGGGAAATTACAATCTTAAAGAAAGCGTCCTGCCTATTATTCTATTCAATTTGTTTACTATACAACAATTAATAATGCTATTCTTGTAGATGCTATCACGTAGAATTTAGATGCTATAAATCACAGATACTTCTAGACAGGAGGCATTTCCATTTTTGCATAGCATTAGAGTATAATTGTTAAGATAAATACAAGAAAAATAAATTCAATGCTTTGGTTACTTTCTAGAGAAGAAAAAAATAGTGAAATTAAAGTACTACCATACTTTCTCAGAATCTATCTAATTACTATATCCTTAATGCCTCATATATGTGTCCCATATCCATATCTATACTTTTTAGAAAGCAAATAATAATCATATTAAATCAAATTTCAATAATTAAACAAGTAAATTTGCATAGAAGTGGGAAAGAGGAAAAACATAAGAGCAATATAAATTGTTTGTACTTGATGATATTAAAATGAAATTTATGTAGGAACTACTAAAAAAAGTAAAGTAGTTGTTGCGGGATCTTAAACAAATACCTAATTTCTTAAAAATAGATTCTTACCATTAATTCTTTGATTTTATGTATAATACAATAGTAAAAATTATAAAAATATTTTTTTTTTCATATCTATATCCATACTTCATAACTTACATGCCAAGGACCATTATGGCCATTGGCCATTGCTTAAGACCCCAATTAGAGGAGGCCTCATATTTTGTAGTCTATATTTTTAAGTTATATATACTTCAATGCTTTTGACTTTTCACTAACCATTACAAAAAAAAGCAGCTAAAGAGTATATTACTAATAATAATTTGTTAAGCTAGAAATAAGATTGTTAAAAAAACAAAAAAACAAATGTAGTTATGCATTATATCAGTATTTATTGCTATACAATGATGGTAACTATCACAAAGTCAATTTTTTACACACAATCACAGCACATGGCACTAAGGCTTGGGAGTTGGTGGACAACAGAGTCATTTTCAGACTATGAACAGAGCAACTTCTGGCATTGAGCAGTGGAGGTTTCCGGAGGATTCTCACCAGTGTCCACATGATTCACCGCCTCTCCTTTGATCCCTTTAATTTAGCTACTTCAATTTGTATTTTCTATCAAATTAGTTAACCAATTCATCTGTGTTTGTAATTAAGTAGTTCATGTAATTAATTAGTTCATTTGCTTGTATTGTAATAATTAGTAGCTTTCATTCGGGGTTGTAATAGTTAGTTAATTAGGGTACTCAAACTCTTGAAAAGAGAGCGAATATGTAACACTTAATGTATGTCTCCCAACCTCCATTTCTTTCTCTCTTTCATTTACTTGCTTACTATAGTTGTATAGCATCATGTTTTCTCTATCATTGCCATAATTTGCATCCATCTTTACAAGCATTAGGATTTGGCTCATCATACTATCATTGCCATTTTTACTTACTTGAATACGTGCGCTACCGCATGCTTTGAATCAATTCATATGTCATGTTAAGGAGCCAAATCCAATAGTTACATTTTTGTATGTGTTGCATTAGTCATGTGCATTATTAGGGTCATGCATTTTTCTAATTGCTTTCTTTTTCTTTGGCTTACCTCAGAGTACTAGGTGAGCATTTTTTGGCTTTAGCATATTTATGTGTGTGATTGTTGCCATGCTTAGCATCTTACCATGAGGCTACGTGCTTACTCGAAATAAACTGTTTAAATGCCTGTGGATGAAGGTTATTTTATTTGCATTGGAGATGATTTTGATCAAATGTATGTATGAACTCATTTCTTTCCTTTTGAGTTGTGTGCACTCAAAATTCTTTTAAAAATCAGATAAAATCAAATCCATTCCAAAGTAAGCGAAGCAGTCTATATTTGTGTGCCTTACATAGTAAGTTAGTATATTAATAATCAAAACATAAGCATCTTAAGTCCATAAAATTTACATCATGATTAGTAGAGGTCGATCTTTGATTGGGTGAGTGGGGTGCTCAATTCATAACCTTCCCCCCTCATACCTAAGTTCCTGAGCCAAGATTTTGGTTATGACGGACAAATGGCCTTTGGCACGAATCACGAGGTTCCTAAATTGTCCAAAAATATTTAGGTAGCAACTCTGAAATCTGACAATGCAGTCCATTTTTGGCATCTCTCAAAACTTTATACTCCACCACTTCATTTGCTACCAAAACTACATTCAAAAAATGACGACCCTTAACAAAAGCTCCTTGAACCGAAGAAACGGTATCCCCCAAGGTCACTCTTAGTCTTTTTGACAACAAGTTCCCTAAAATCTTATAGAGAGATGAGACAAGGCTAATGGGTATGAAGTCACTTATCTTAACTGAGTTCTACTTTTTGGGGATCAAACAAATAAACGATGCATTAATGCTCAAGAATTCATGCGCAAAACCCGAAAAACCCGATCCGCTGTCATCCCAAATCAAAATATATTCGGGACAAACCCGATGGGGCGTGACAGCACCCACCCCAATTCTGTAAATTTGCGTACAAGTGTGGAAGAGAAAAAGCACAAGAACTATAAATTGTTTGTAGTTGATATTCAAATGAAATTTAAAGTGGTTGCTATGGGATCTTAACTAATACTCCCTCCATCCCATTTTATTAGTCCCTTATTCCATTTTTTGTTGTCCCAAAATGCATGTCTATTTTGAAAAGTCAAAACTTAAAATTTGAAAGTGTCCAAAATTGCCCCTTACTAGTAATTATAAAGGATTTAAAAATGAGAATAGAGGGGTATTTTGTAATTAATGCTTTAAAATTTGAATTCAAGTGTAATGATTACTTGTCTCCTTAAAAAGTTAAAATTTTTCAAAAGGGACTATCAAAATAGGATAGAGCAAGTACCTAATTTCTTAAAAATAGATTCTTACCATTCTTTGAGTTGCATCTTAGCCATACCCATATCTTATTTTCTTAGGTTTTGTTATATTCCCGCATCCATATCATATCGTATCAATGTCTCATATCCGTATCTGTGCTTCATGACTTACATGTCAAGGTTGGCCTATGCATAAGGCTATTAAGGCCACTGCTTAAGGCCCCCAATTAGAGGAGGCCTCATATTTTGTATTACATATACTTACATATACTTCAATGCTTTTGACTTTTCACTAACCACTACAAAAAATAAATAAATAAATTTGTAAGAAGTGGGTACAGAAGGTGTGGGAGGTGGTGGATGGACAGGGACAGAAGGGGAGAGGAGAGGGGGCTGTTAAGTTAGGGTTAGGGTTAGGGTTTTGACATAAGTTAAATGAAAAAGATGAAAAGAAGGGCAATATAGTATTTTCTCATTTAAATTTGACTTTGACTTCATTTTTTTTTTTTTTTTATGCCAACTCTTAAAATGCGTGAATGGTACCATTTCTGTCAACTTGGACAGAAAAAATTAACATTTGAACTATAATGCATAACCACATAAAGGTTTTCTATCTATATTTAAACTATGGGTGGTAAAGTGCTTGAGCCTTAAAACACCGGGGTAAAAGTGAAGTCGTCTTCCCATCATTCATTTTTCTCTTTCTTTCTTTTTATTTATTATTTTTTTTTTTACACCTACAGTGAGTAAAGTAAGTTTGCTCCTGTATTGAAAAAGGAAAAAAAAAAGAATAGAGGGGTATTTTGTAATTAATGCTTTAAAATTTGAATTCAAGTGTAATGATTACTTGTCTCCTTAAAAAGTTAAAATTTTTCAAAAGGGACTATCAAAATAGGATAGAGCAAGTACCTAATTTCTTAAAAATAGATTCTTACCATTCTTTGAGTTGCATCTTAGCCATACCCATATCTTATTTTCTTAGGTTTTGTTATATTCCCGCATCCATATCATATCGTATCAATGTCTCATATCCGTATCTGTGCTTCATGACTTACATGTCAAGGTTGGCCTATGCATAAGGCTATTAAGGCCACTGCTTAAGGCCCCCAATTAGAGGAGGCCTCATATTTTGTATTACATATACTTACATGTATTTCAATGCTTTTGACTTTTCACTAACCACTACAATAAATAAATAAATAAATAAATTTGTAAGAAGTGGGTACAGAAGGTGTGGGAGGTGGTGGATGGACAGGGACAGAAGGGGAGAGGAGAGGGGGCTGTTAAGTTAGGGTTAGGGTTAGGGTTTTGACATAAGTTAAATGAAAAAGATGAAAAGAAGGGCAATATAGTATTTTCTCATTTAAATTTGACTTTGACTTTGACTTCATTTTTTTTTTTTTTTCATGCCAACTCTTAAAATGCGTGAATGGTACAATTTCCGTCAACTTGGACAGAAAAAATTAACATTTGAACTATAATGCATAACCACATGAAGGTTTTCTCTCTATATTTAAACTATGGGTGGTAAAGTGCTTGGGCCTTAAAACACCGGGGTAAAAGTGAAGTCTTCCCATCATTCATTTTTCTCTTTCTTTCTTTTTATTTATTATTATTTTTTTTTACACCTACAGTGAGTAAAGTAAGTTTGCTCCTGTATTGAAAAAAGGAAAAAAAAAAACTCTACAAATGCATGGTGGTCAACCACATTGGCAATCAATTGCAATTATAGTAAATTTATGTGACATACTTCACACGCGCACACACACACACACACACACATATATATATATATAGAGAGAGAGAGAGAAAGCAAATTCATATGTCACTATCCATATTTAGTGAAATTTGACTCTCTGATCTAAAGATAGAAATTTCACTACTCAAAAACAAAAAGAATAGTGAAATGATTAGTAATTTTATAGCCCTCAGGGATTTTCAGCCCCCAAATTGAAATAAGGTACCTATTTTTTGCTTACACAGTGAAATTTCATTGTCCTGTTTTAATATAATTTCACTATCACTTATTCAAGAAGAGGGAATTTAAACGTATAGATGAGGGCTAATCTTATAACCTTGAGGTTATGGGTTCAAATCTCGGGACGACCACTTTGTGCACTATGCCAAAGGTTAAATGTGTACACAATCTTCCCCTCACAAACACACATTAATGTGTACCAATTGGGCATTGTTTTTAGATGAGGGCTAATCTAGTACATGTAGATCAAAAGTTATGAAATTCTACAGTTTTGAAATAATTCCAAAATTGATATTATGTCATAGTAAAATTTTAATGCCTTTTTTCTTTTATTTATATATGTACATATTTTGATATTCATCATGAGTCTTGGATCTTGAATCTCACGAAAAAATTTCAAAAATAAAAAATTTTAGGGAAAATTACAACAAAAAAAAATCCTAAAATTTCACCCTTGTAACAAAATAAACTTTTGAGTTTTTAAATTTAACAATTTAAATCCTAATATTTTGATTTATTTGCAATCTAAACCATCTGTATATTTTCATTAAGTAAAACTGATGACAAAATGAGTTTTTAATTGGGATTTTTTTTAAAGGTTCCTAATATTAAGATTTTATAAGATAAAGGACATATAATATTTTCATAGTAGTTGGAGACCCTCAATATTTTCACAGAGAAATTTCGACAGAGAAATTTCACCCCAACACAAAGAAATTTCTCTAATTTCACAGAGAATTTTCAAAAATTTCCCTGACATCACAGATAAATTTCATCGAGGGACCTTAGCTAATAAAAAAAAAATGACCTCTCCTACTACCCAAAGTTGGAGAGAGATGTTTCACTAATTTTTCCTTTTTAATTTTTATCAATTTAGAACCTAATTTTTTGATTTATTTGCGATCTAAAACATCGGCCTATTTTCATTAAGTAAAATTGACGGAAAAATAGGTTTTCAATTTTATAATTTTAACCCTAATTTTTTAATTTATTTACAATCTAAACCATCTATCTATTTTCATTAAGTAAAACAACTGATGCAAAAATGAGTTTTTAATTTTATCAATTTAAATCCTAAACTTTTAGTTTATTTGTAATCTAAACCATCTTCCTATTTTCAAACTGACGGAAAAATACTTAGGGTTTATTTTGTTACAAGGGCCAAGTTCTGGTTGTTGTTTTTTCTTTTTTCTTTTTTTGTAATTTTTCCCTTTAAAAAAAAAAAAACAAAACAAAACAAAACAAAAAGAGACATATAGAGCAAGAGTTAAAGTATTTTAAAGATTTGAAATGAATTCAAAAGAAAAGTTACATTGTAGTGAAATTTTACTACTCATGGGTGTTGTTTGCTATAAGGATTTCAAAAATACTAATTTTATAAATAAATAAAAAAATGAACATCTTTATCTAAAGTTATGAAATTTTAAAATTTTAAAATAAATGAGAGATGGTGAAGGAAGAATGTGTTGTACGCTTGTTTGTCCTTGATGCATTAAAATTTGTGGGTTTGACTTCTCTCAAATTGTCTTATCAACTTGAGAGAACAGTTGGGCTTGGTAGGCTCATTTTGGAACCGATTTCGGTGATTTTAACCGTTCACTTTTTAAGACTTATTGAGTAGAATATTCATGCAAAAATCAAGATGATTGGATATCGGTAACTATATGTTTGAATCATATTTGTTTTTAAAAAATAGATGACAAATATAATTTCAAAAAATTCATTCATTTTTTATAATACAAATTTGATTCAAACATATAGCTACCGATGTCAATCATTTTAATTTTTTGCATGAATATTTTACTCAACGAGCCCTAAAAACTGAAAGGTTTGAATCAATAAAATCGGTTTCAAAATGGGCTTACCAAGCCCAAGCACTCTCTTAAATTGAGATGACCAACTTAAAAGAAGCCAAATCCAAAATTTATATACATCTTTGACAATAAAATTTGATAGTGGAAAAGAGTGATTTTTCAAAAGACTAACATTATACAAACAAAAAAAATTCATATATAATGATGTGGCTCCCTTTCACTTCAAAACAAAACATCATTGAAGATAGATTTATTGACAATAATGACATTGTCACCTCATTTTTGTCAATTTTTTTTGTATGAATTTTATGTATGTTTAGAACTTTCCTTTTCAAAAATGACCCTATCACAGTGTTAAGGTTAGAGAGTTGGACAGTGAAATAATTACTGTACCATTAAATCTCAATCATCCATATAATCACTCTAAGATCACTCTAAAATTCCACCCGGACTAGTGGGGGGCTTTCCATGGAATCTCCCGTTCCAAAAATCATAAGGTCAAAAATTCCACCTTTAAGTTCAAGAACCAAAAACAAATAAATAAAATAAGGATTTGGATTAAAAAAAAAAAGAAGTGAAAATCCATAAATTTTAATAGACTTAAGATTTTATGTAATAATTTTTTTTTTTTTTAACTAACAAATAGGTGTAAAGGCATCAAATTCCGTTAAACTCTAAACCAGAAGATTGATGATATTCAAATATGGGATGAATCAATCCAAAGCATCATCTAGATCAGGAAAAAGAGAAAGCAGTGCCGAAGGAACAAAAAAGAAGAAGAGCGAATACCTTATGTATGCATTGAGTGCAAACCCACTCGAATTTCTGTTAAAATTCGTTTGTTTATGAAGGCAGATGGGTGGCGGGTGACTCGAATAATGAGCTCAAGTGAAGGGGAATTAGGTAATCAGAGATGCACTCCTCTTACTTCTGCCAACAACATACACAAACAAGAAGAAAGAGTCAAATTCTCTGATCCAAATAATTTTCCCCTAAAAACTTTAACAAATTTAACAATCAAAATATGAAAAGTAGCATTCATACTGGTTTTAGGGTTTACATTGCAGATCGCGCCATTGCTGACTTGGTGAAGTCAAGTTGTCTTTTGCAGAGCGTGTGTGAATCAGCTTAATTTTTAAGTCAGTGCAATGCTAGCCACGCAAATACTATACTTCAAAATTTTCTACTTGTTTTCGTATTTTCTTGTTTTTTTGAATTTTTTTAATATTTTAAGTAATTTTTTTCAATTTTTAAACACACCTAATATAAATATATTTAAAAAGTATAATTTTTATAAAAAAAATTTAAAAAAATTTATTAAATATCAAAAATACGAAAATTTAATACATTTTTCATATTTTTGTGTATTTATTAATTTTTTTAAAATATTTTTTTCATAAATATTTTACTTTTTAAACACATCTAAGTAAGATGCATCCAAAAAGTTAAAAAAAATGTTTAAAAATTTAAAAAATATTCACTAAAAACAAAAAAATACGAAAAAAAAATCATTTTTCAAAAAATTTAATTCAAAAAACTTAAACAAAACACATTGATTCAGTGTTTGACATGTGTTTGAAATAATACATGGTATTTTAATACAATATATTATTTATGTTATAATTATTTTATTTCGATCATATTATCTCTTTATCATATCATTTTAAATCTAATTTATATTTCATGTTTTTTTAGTAAAAACTAAAAAGTATACTAATTCAACACATGTCAAATAGCTTCTAACACCCAAATTAAGGATAAATTCTCATTTTGCATATCTATATTTTACACCAAATTTTACTTTTGTCCCTACGCATGAAATCATAACAGTCAACCACTTACACTTTTGGTCAAATCTCACTTTAATCCCTATAAATGAAATTGTGACAGTCAACCCCTACACTTTTAGTCAAATCTCACTTTGATTTTTACACAATTATTAATGTCCCCATTTTATTATTCTATTGTTTAAATCTTTAACAAAATATAATCATGTGGCAAGAATATGACTACGAAATGAAGGTAAGAGTGGAAAATCATTCCTATTTTTTACCAATACACACTTTGGCCAAGTTTGGCATGTTTAATAAAAGCCAAAAAGTCAAAAGTCACTATCCTATTTAAGTCACATCACTTCCCTACCACGTCACTTCAAACCCAACTTATATTTCATAAAAAGTCAAAAAGTGCACTTATTTATAACATCCCAAATAATCCCTTTGTCCTAAAATTTACAACAAATTATGACTATAGTAGACTAAAACAAAACACGGATTGTGAAGAAGATAAACTAGAGTTTTGCATAAATTGGAACCACAAAACTCTATTTTTCACAGTAACACAGTCTTTTGTCTATTTATTTTCCTTTCTCTTCGATTTCTCTATTGCCTTTCTTTTTAATTTCAAAAACTCTATTTTTTCGTCTCTTTGTTCCAATTTTCAGCATACGAACATTAGGAGTGTAAAAATGACCCGCGGCCCGCGGCCCAGAAATGGGCCTGGCCCATTTAGGCGCATTTGGGCCCTGTCTTGTCTATTTCTCTTCCTTTCTCTTCGATTTCTCTATTGCCTTTCTTTTTAATTTCAAAAACTCTATTTTTTCGTCTCTTTGTTCCAATTTTCAGCATACGAACGTTAGGAGTGTAAAAATGACCCGCGGCCCAAGGCCCAAAAATGGGCCTGGCCCATTTAGACGCATACAGGCCTTGACTCGAGCCCATCCCGAGCCCTTGGACTTGGGCCTAGGCCATCATTTTGAAGCCCTACCCGACCCGTTGCCCCAACCCATTGGCCCACTTAAGGCCCACTCAAGGCCTGGCTCGCCGGAAACCCAGTGTCTTTTTTAATGAAAAATAATAAAATTTTGGTTGAAAAAATAAAAAAAATGAACAGGCCCGCCCAAGGCCCGAATACCCCTGGGCCTAGGCCTATTTTTTTTGGCCCAAATTTTGGCGGGAGCCCGCGAGGCTTGACATTGGCCGACCCGGGCCAAATTTACACCCCTAACGAACATATAATATATATATATATATATTGTATTATATAATTCTCACGTGCTTATTATGTAGGACAAATTGTGTATTGGTGAAAAATATGATGGTTTTCCTCTTACCCTCATTTCGTAATCATATTCTTGTCAAATAAGTGGATTCTATTAAAGATTTAAACAATGGAGTAACAGAAGGAGGACATTGACACTTGTGTAGGGACCGAAATGGGATTTGACCAAAAGTGCAAGGGGTTAATTGTCACAATTTCATGTGTAAGGATCAATGTGAAATTTGACCAGAAGTGCAAGGGGTTGACTGTTATGATTTCACGTGTAGGCGTGTGAGGACCAAAGGGGAATTTTGTGTAAAATGCAGGGGTGCAAAGTGTAATTTATTCCCCAAATTAATTATCAAATATTTATTAAATACTCATCTTTTTTATTAAGGGTAAATTCCAAGTACATTTTATGATTTTTTTTTAAAATACGATTTGTCCCATATAATTTAAAAAATTATAAATACTTTCTTATTAGAATGAGGACATTGACACTTGTGTGTGGATCAAAGTGGGATTTGACCAAAAGTGTAGGGGATTGACTGTCATGATTTCATATGTAAGGGCCAAAGTGAAATTTAACCAGAAGTGTAAGGGATTGACTGTTATGATTTCACGTGTGAGGACCAAAGGGGAATTCTGTGTAAAATGCAGGGGTGCAAAGTGTAATTTATTCCCCAAATTAATTATCAAATATTTATCAAATACTCATCTTTTTTATTAAGGGTAAATTCCAAGTACATTTTATGAATTTTTTTTAAAATACAAATTGTCCGATATAATTTAGAAAATTATAAATATTTCCTTATTAGAAATTTTTGTTTAACAAAAAACTAAAAAAATCTAATTCTTAACTGCTCTTCTATACAATAATAAAATTTCGTGTAGGTCCCAATAAATGGACTTATTATCTAATAGGTCTTATGAAAAAAATTTGTCATAAAAAAAGTCACTAATTGTAAGTTTTAGCTACAATTTATAACAATCATGACAAAAAAAGTCACTAATTATCAATTTTTAGAGACATATATAAAAAAATTGTCACAAAAAAAATTATTTTTGGCGACAATTTTACTAAAACTTATTTTCAATAGGACTTGATGGGAATTAAGTCCAACTATTATAACCTATTAATAGTTTACCCTAAAAACTACTAATTGACTTGATGATTTATTACTAAAATGGACTATTTGTTATGAAACTAGAAACTTCAAGGGACATGATGTAATTTCCAAAATCACATATTGCAATTCGTCTTTTAAGTAAATCTCAAGAGGTGCATTTTTAATTTACTCTTTTATGAAATATTTATTAAATGCTTTAAACCTTCTTCTTTTATTATTATTATTATTATTTTGACCCTTAAAACATTTTTTTTTTCTCATTTTAGCTTCCAATATTTTAATTTCTTTTCAAATTACTCTCAAAATAAATTTTCGTTCAATTTTAAATTAAAAATTTCACATTGGCAGCCAGTCATACGCCACGTAACAGCCACATAGCATAAATGGTAAATTACACTTTGCCCCTTTTAAGTCACATTTTTTTTATTTTGTCCCTTAATTATTGTAATCCTTCTTCTTTTTTTATTATTATTATTATTATTATTATTATTATTATTATTATTATTATTTTGACCCTTAAAACATTTTTTTTTTCTCATTTTAGCTTCCAATATTTTAATTTCTTTTCAAATTACTCTCAAAATAAATCTTCGTTCAATTTTAAATTAAAAATTTCACATTGGCAGCCAGTCATACGACGTCACGTAACAGCCACATAGCATAAATGGTAAATTACACTTTGCCCCTTTTAAGTCACATTTTTTTTTTATTTTGTCCCTTAATTATTGTAATTTTCTTAATTTACTGTCGAAACAAAATAATCATTCAAGATGAAAAAATGACGGTTTGGTAGTGATGTTGCATGAAAATAAACTATATTAAAATTTAATTGAGCTAATATATATATATATATATATATATATATTGAATAATTAAAAACAAGTTTGGCAAAAATAAATACTAAAAAATATATTTTTAAATTTTCAAAAAATATATTTGCTCTAAAAAAGAGAAATCATATGAAAATAATTAGTTTTTTTTTTTTTTTCACCAAACTAGTTTTTAAAAAAATTTCAAAAAACATATTATAGAAACTTAACCAAGCACAAGGGTGCTTTGGTGTATATGGACATTGGTCCGATATAGGGATATAACTGTAAAAATATGGCCAGAGAATGGGCTATAAAGGTGAAGAGTACTGATGGAGATTGGGGTAAAGGGGATAGTGAAAGAGTAATGGGAATTTGAAGGTGAATTTGAAGAGAAGAAAGAAAGACGGAGTTGGAATTTTGGTTTAGATTATTGGAATGGGTTTTAAAATTTGGGTTTTGGGTCTTAAAGTTGGATAAAAATTCATTTTTGGAGTAAATTGAATTTTTTTTTTTTTTTTTTACAAATATTAAGGTCAAAGTGAAAAACAAATACTTAAGTGCTAAAATGAAAAAGTGTGAAACTTAAAGGGACAAAATGTAATTTATCCATTTTATGCCACGTTGCGCCACTGGTTCCCACGTGGCATTTTCCTTCTGAAAGGTGACAGAAGTTAACTCTTGGATCAAAGGGAAAAAAATTACAAATGTTAAAGGTCAAACTGGGAAAAAAAAAGTACTTTGAGGATCAAAGTGAGAAAATAATAAAACTTAAGCAGCAAAGTGTAATTTATTCATATATATTTGGAGCCCATTTCGGGTTCACTTTTTTGTATCCGAATTGTTCAATTTTTAGTACATTTTGAATAGATTATTCATACAAAAAATTAGGTTAATCGTACATATCAAGTCTCATGTTTGAATTACATTTGTCATAAAGAAATAGACGTCAAATATAGTTTAATAAATAGGCCCTCCTTTTTTAAAAAATAAATATGAATCAAATACATGACTATTGATATCTAATCAATATAATTTTTTACATAAATGAACTACTCAAAATACACTATGTTAGGTCTCTACTTATTGCCAATTCTGCGAGCAAGCTTAGTTTAATTGAGTTGTAATTTTTCCTCTGTTTTCGTCTTCTCGCTCGAGTGGAGTTTTCACCTTCTCAGTACTTTGGCCTGTTTGCAA